CACTGGGTAGTTTTAAAAAGTAGGAATTTATTCTCTTGCAGTTCTGGAGGCCGGGAGTGTCAGGTCGAGGAGTCAGGCCTCATGCCCTCCAGCGGCTCCAGGGAGAGCCCTGCTCCCCAGGTCCAGTGGCCCCGGGGTCCCTGCGTGTGGCAGCATCGTTCCGTCCCTGCCTCTGCTTCACGGGCCTCTCCCTGGTCTGCCTCTTACGCGGACACTGTCACTGGGCTTAGGGCCCAACGACTTCATCTCAACTTCATCACAAGGACCACACTCTGCGGTTCTGTGGGAAGCTGAGTCGACACCCTTGTCCCACCGCAGCTCTGAAGCTGGGCAAGGTCTCAGGCTGTCTGGGACGGTGCTAAATAAATGTGAGTCCACTTCAGCACCAGCCACGCAGCCCCGGTGTGCGAGCGGGAAGAAGCTCGGTTACAGTCGGGGGACACCCTCAGGGGGTAGTGATCACGCCGATGTCTCTGGCACCCACCCTGAAGGCTCCGCTCCAGACTGGGAGCGACCCCCGCCCCTCGGGGCTCCTGCCTGCTCGAGGAGCTCACCCGCAGACCGCTCTCTGCAGATGGCTGGTGCCCTCCGCCCTGCGGGCCTGCGGGTGTGGCCACCTGTCCCCTGGCCCAGGGCCCGCGCAGCTTTGTCGTTTCCTGTGGACACTGGCGACAGCTCCAACGGCTCCTTTCCTGCTGCCGGGACTGGCTTCTCTTCTGTGGGCTGCACCACGCTGCTCAGCACCCCAGTCCGTGCCATCTTGACATCTGTGCCCTAAGCTGAAGAGGCCTCAGGAAGGCAGGACTTCGCAGTTGAGACACAGTGTGTCCCCCTTGCCGCACCACGGACGGGAGGGCCGCGGACCTTGCCCCTCTGCGGCCACCTTGGTGCAGTCCCGTGTTGGTTTCTTCCAGATCCTTCCCATCTCTGTCAGAAGATGACTGTTCCCAAGCTGTCCCTTAGTCCTCCTTCACTCCCGCGAGACCCTGGGGGCGTGTTTTGCAAATTAAGCCACTGCCTAGTCCTCTGTCACCTTGCACGGCGCCCAGGCTCCTGGTCGGTCCAGCTGTATCGAAGCAAAACATCTGCATCAGTAAGACGGGACCCCAAGCTGCCTTGGGGTCTTGCAGTGGGGTCCGGTGGGCTCGGGTTCCGCTCGGCCGCTGCTGACTGTTCTTAACTCCCGAACCACGTCCTGTCACTGCTCACGTGTGTGTAACTGGGACCTGAAATGATACACCCTGAGGACTTCCAGCATCAGGCCAGCTCACCGTGGCCGTGGGCAGGATCCACGGGCCACTGATCACAGGTGGCTCTGCCGGCACCGTGTGGATTCAGGAGGGTGGCGCCGGAACCCCGCGACTACAGCGCGGCCCCTCCCAGCAGGAGTGTGCTTTCTCTAGAGGGGTCCCCATTGTCCTGCTCTCTTCCCTCACCTCAGGAAGAATCTTTCTTCCTTCTCAAAACTAGCCATCTTCCTGACCCTGATTCTGTCCCTTCCACCTCCGTCAGAGTTAGTCACACGTTTCATCTCTGTCTCCGTTTTCCCTCCACAGCCTCGAGCTGTGCATTTGGTCAGAAACTCCTTCCCTCATCCCCGCGTGAGGCCTTCCCTTCGGCGTCACACTCCTCCAACCCTTCCAAAGTCCATTTGTCCGAGTGACTTTTGTTGTGCGTGGCCGCGTGTTGGGTGCCATGACGTGAAGAGGTGATACCACCAGACCGGCTGCTCGTCTCGGGAATGATAGTGACCACACCCCGAGCCGTGTCCCTCAGGGGGGTCGTGCTCTAGCTCCCCAGCTTCCTTCCGCTGTGCTCAACTGCCTGGTTCTCTCCCCGCGCATGGAGGGCACGCTCCGCCTGCTGACGTCCTGTCTCCCTCAGCTCCCAGGCTAAGCGGGTTTCCTCGGGGAACCTTCATGGCCCCCTCACCCTCTGGGATTCCTTCCTCTTTCCATCCTGTGGATTCGTCGGCCCCTTTGTCAGAACCCTGGCTCAGTTTCATCATTTCTTTTAATATTTTTTCTTTATTGATTTTTAGAGAGGAAGGGAGAGAGAGAGAAAAACATTGATGAGAGAGAACATTGATTGGCTGCCTCCTGTGTGCCCCCCACTGCGGATCAGGCCCACAACCTGGGCCTGTGTCCTGACCGGGAATTGAACCAGCAACCTCTTGGTGCAGGGTCAACGCTCAACCACTGAGCCACACCGGCCAGACCTGACTCAGGTGCTAATTCTGCGCTTATGGGTGTAATTACTTGGCCTCTTTCCACTCTGCCCTCAGCTCTGCAGCGGCGGGGGGGGGGGGGGGGGGCGACAGTTTCACGTGTCGTCGGGTGCCCAGTCCCAGCGCGGGCTGCCTGGGGCGGGCCATCAGGAAGCCCTGGTAGGGGGAAGGGAGGGAGAGTGTCCTGAAGGAGCCGCTCAGGTAGTGACAAGAGAATCACGGATGCTCTGACGGTTGGAACAGTGTGATCACGGAGCTGTACCCCGTGTGCGAAGCTGTTAGCTCACGGGTGTGGGTGTAGGTGTGAAGTCTCAGCAAACACCTACCTCCAGAGGGGTGAGTCGGCATCTGCTGTGGTCTCTGGGAAGGGAATTCAGGGCAGCCTCTGAGTGCTGACCGGTGACTGTGGAGTCGTGGGGAACTTTCCGGGGAGATGGAAATGTTTTCTGTCCTGATTGGAGTAGTGGTTCTGCTCAAACCCATCTAACTGCACTTGGATGAGTGTGTTCTGTATGTGCACCATGTGTCTGTTCTTTTATTTTTTCTAAGTGCTGTACTGGGGGACAAGACATCTCTGGAGGTTGTCCGGAGACTGCTCCGCAGGACTGAGACTTGACTTGGGGAGGGGATTAGTGCAGCTAAGTTTTAGGACCAGTGTTTGAGCAATGGCACTGGGGTCAGGAAAGAAGGGGTGCAATTCTGGGTCGTGGAGGTGCTGGAATTGGCAAGAATGGATCGTGAACAGGGGTGTCTATTGTAGCATTTTGCACAGCGGCCAACACACTGGCCCTGAGCACTGCCCATCAACGGGGAGCTCTTTCACCGTTCAGACGCCCGCACCGCGGATGGATGTGCAGCTGGTAATTAAATATTGAACTTGAATCGCTTCTCGGCATTTTTGGCTAAGATCAAGTGTAGTATCTGTTCTTATCAGTTTGGTATCTGATACATCCTCTATCCGAGGACAATATATTAAATGGATTTTTGGAGCAGGGAGATGGATTAGGAGCTTGCTCTGTCCACTCCACGCATCGACCCGGTAGCGGTACCTCTGGGAACGGAGCAAAAAAATTTGAACTTGAGCCCTGGCTGGTTTGGCTCAGTGGTTAGAGCGTCGGCCCAGGGACCAATTCTGGTCAAGGGCATGTACCTCAGTTTCAGGTTCAATCCCCGGCCCTGGTTGGGGTTGTGCGGGAGGCAACCAATTGACGTGTCTCTCTAACGTCGATGTTTCTCTCTTTCTTTCTCCCTCCCTCCCACTCTCTCTAAAAATCAATACAAAAAAATATGTAGCCTTGGGTGAGGATTAACAACAACCACAAAGTTGAATTTGAGTTTTAGCGCTTGGTTCAGCAGAGTAGAAATTCCTATTCGCACTTATCCAAACAAAGCATAATTATATACATATAAAAACAAACAGCGAAATGGTCATTTGTAAGTAATTATATATAAGCCCAAAGAAAAGTAAGGGGAGATATACGCAGATTTAACGGGGTGTGTGTGTGTGTGTATGTGCATGTGCACACGTGTGTGTGCGCGCGTGTGTATACGGGGGAGGAGAGCAAGGAGCAGGTAATGCGTCACACGCAGAAGAGAAAAAGGAGCCAGTGAAAACATGAACTTTATTATAAACAATGTATATAAAGCGATACGTGTGCATGTATGTTAAGAAATTAGAAAACATGTAAATCTTTCTTGACCACAAATGATGCCCATTTATATATTGCTAAGTGATAAAAGCAAATTGCAGACTTGGCTTTATTTTGTTAAACACAAACCCACAAAAGCTAGCCGAGGTTTGTGGGCACTTGTTCACATAACTCTGAGCAAATTTCCCCTCCTGGGTGTTACTGTGGGGCCTCAGCAAGAGGGCCCTGGTTACCTTGTGCAGAACCACCAGAACCTGTCTGTCTCTCCGTCTGTGCACCTGCCGTCACACTGACAGTCTCCTCCCAGAGGGTACCCCAGCCCTAGTTTACAGAAAAGTATGTTCTCCTCACTAGTCCAAATTTTAACAAGAAATCTTACACTCAGCCATCAAAATGCTTTGGAATGTGCTCAGAGTCAACAAACTGCAACGTACATTTATGAAATAACTATAATAAAAGGCAACACTATATGCCAGGCATATTCCAAGTCTTTACACGTGTGAACTCATTTAGTTCGTTTTAGTCTTATTCCCATTTTATAGGTGGAGACGCTGAGGACCGAGGGGTGAGAAGGCCCGTGAGTGGGATCCGGGCTCTGACCTTCCTCCTGAGAGACAGACAGGAGCTGAGGGGGGCTGCAGGGCCAGAGTGACCAGATGGAAACAGATATGAGAGAAAGAGATTTATTTGTGGGACAAACACCCGAGATTTTTGAGACAGACCTTATCTCTGAGATTCCTAAAGCTGCCCCGTTTTTCTCGGGCAAGTGCACTGAACAGGCTGTGATTAGACATTAGAGAGCCTGGTGTCCATCCAGCGTGCTCTTCTGCCGTCGGTGTGACCCAGAAGTCACTGCCACTCTAGCCTGCTGCTTTGTCTCCAGAGAGAGAAAATCTGCCCGCTGTCACCCCCAGAAGGTACACGGGAATCTGGTCAACAGTGCCGTGAAGAAAAGTGCTTCACCGAGAGGTGCCAAGGACGTCCCATGTCGACATGACCCTACAAGGATTTCAGTCTGACATCGGAGTCTAATAAATCCTTATTTAATGATCTGCTTTCAGGGTGCTCTACTGCGTGCCTGGTAGAACCCCAACTCGGAAATGCCGACACCAGCCTTCGGGACGGCGGAACCCCACTAGACCCCCAGGAAACCCAGGGCTCTGGCTGTGTCTCTCAACATGAACACCCCACAGTAAGTAGCACCGGGACCTGCTCCCTGGGGTGCTGAGCTGGACCGCAGTCAGAACTGCGGGTGCATCCGTAGCTCCCTCCCAGCCCCATGGGGATGGAGGTAGCCCAGGTGGTTTTGCCCTTCAGGCCGACGTTAAAACGACACGTTAGAATCTGCCTTTTCCTGGAGCGGCCTCACTGATGTCGTCTCCATTTTCAGTTCAGAAAAGCGGAGGATTCCTCTGTCCAAACTGCTGCTGGCCTCTCACACACGTGGGGTCTCTGACCTTCTCATGGTCGTGGGGTTCACTACACCTGCATTACTAAATTTGGTATTTTCTTGTGCTAAAAAACAAAACGCAAACAAAAAACACCATGGTGGTCAGTCTCCCAGAAGACAAGGCTGTTCCAATGCAGGCGACCACCGGGAGGCCACAGAGGATAGGGAGCCTTTCAGAAGCAAACCCCAGACAGGATTAGGGGTGCTTACGGTGGATGAATGAACAGGAATTGCAAGGAAAGTTAGAAATCACAGCCGGGTTCCTGGAAGCTTTATGCAGCCGGCAGCAGAGCGCGGGGCTTTGCTTTCAGTTCTCAAACCCGAGACGCTGCGTGCACCAACCACTCGGTCTTACCAAGGACCAGCAAAGGGGTCGGTGGTTGTGTGGTCGCAGCTTACTGACAAAACCAACAAGGTGGGAATAGCACCCCTTCCGCCCCTGCTGGGCAGGCCACGGACTTGTCCCCAGGAGCAGGAGCCCAGCATTGCACAGCAGGGCCCTGTGACCAGCAATGCAGGACCTCAGCAGGACACAGTAAGTCTCAGCCAGTGGACACCCCACCTGTCCCAGCCGGGTCGCCTTGGATGGGGTGCCACGGGCTGTCAGCAGCTCTGGGCGAGTTGGATTCCGCTCCCTGTGCTCCTCATCCTCCCGGGGCGGGGCTGCTCCCCCCTCGTGGTGATAGCACAGGGGCAGCAGCACACAGAAGGTCTCAGGTGCCTTTTCGTGCCTCTGCTGATACCCGGGGACCCAAACAAGTTGCATGCCCGGACACAGAACCGAGGATTGGGAAATGTAGTCTTCCTTTTGAGGGGGGAGCTGCAGGGTCACATGGCAAAGGGAGGGTGAGGAATGGAGCCATTGATACATGCTGTCCACCCCCCTGTTCTTGTCCAAGACCGGGGTACTCTCAGCAGTCAGGCTACAACATGGGGGACCTTAACCCTCCCCCCACCAGGAGGCCTCGTCTGCTCCTTCCCTGTGCCCACTGGCAGGAGGGGCCCGAGGGAAGGCAGAGCAGCTGGTCAGTAGTTCTGGTCTCGGACCGTCCCCAGCCATCCAGGAACACCCCACTGGTCGGAAAGCTGCCTGTCTGGTCGGCAGCCCAGCTTTCCTTGCGTTGTCCAGAAGAGAAGAACAAACCCCACTGAAAACGTCTCCTCCTCGGAAAACATCTGGAGTAGCTGGGATTCCCCCCGTAGACACCCACACTGTGTTCTCAGTTACTGAGAAACAGAAGCAGCCGCACACCCTGCGGCTGTTCTGTGTGAGGACGCGGAGCGGCTGCTGAACGCGCTCGGAGGGGGCAGAGAGCAGGGGTGAAAAGTCCCACAGAAGGAGCTGGGCGTCGGAAATGACTGGGAGAGGCGGGGAGGTTAGGCAGCTAACCTGTGGTGTTCAAATAAAAATTCCACCTTTTCCTCCATCACCTGGATGATTCGAGCAAAAGCGAAGTAGGTGGATTCGGCTCTCAACTTCTGGTTAACGGCCGCTGAGCGGTACCGCTTAGATTTCAGTGGTGGTTGGGGAAAAAGGTTTCGAATTCAGAGCTCCCACCCGGGTGTCAGGACGTGTGGTTCCGACGCGTCCTCCGCCTTTCCTTGGGGAGTGGGCAGAACGACTTGCCCGTGAGGGATCACCGCCCTGTCGCTTCTCCACAATGCAGGCCTGCGGCGGGAGGAAGGGTTTCCGAAGTCGAGATCATCTCCCAGCACGTAGACGAGGAGACCAAGAGCACTGCCCCTGGGCCGCTGGTGAACTTTGCCTATCGGGACTTGCCCCTGGCCGCAGTGGACCTCTCCACCGCGGGCTCCCAGCTCCTGTCAAACCTGGACGAAGATTACCAAAGAGAAGGGTAGGCGCTGGGACTCCGGCATACCTCCTCGGGTCTCGTGGTCCCCTCCCCCCAGATACTCAGCGGTCAGAGATGCCGAGTCCGGAGAGACCAGGTGTTCCCATCAGGACACCCAGGTCCCTTCGCCCTCAGACACTGTTTCCTCAGAATAAGGCTTTGGGCTTAGACATCACCTGCTGTTGCTACACACAGTCTCTTATGTAGCATTTGCTTGGAAGTCAGAGAATCATAACATTTGTTTAAAGACTGGCATGCTTCGTGAAGGCCCATCCAACCCCTCTCTGCACACTGGGACTCAGGAGGCCCACAGGGGTCAGGGACCCACCCAAGGTCGCAGAGTCCATAAGGAGTGGACTCGGACTGCACTGCCCTTGGTCAGCCAACTCTCACCGAAAAAGTGGCTGGAGAAAAGGGCCGTGCGTGCGGCAATGAGCCGGGTGTGTCTGGGGACTTGGCAGCGCTGATCTGGGAGGCTTGCCGCTGGGTGTGCTGGTCCCTGATGCACAGTGTGGCCCACCTCCTCCTCCTCAGCTAGTCAGTCGGAGGGGACGCCTTTGCCCCCAGTTAGCACCTCATTAGCCTGGTCTGTCACAAACGTCCTTTCTGAGGATGGACGGTAGAGTGTAGAGCTGGTCGGCGCAGGGGGGAGGCGCCCACCTGAAGACCAGAGCAGGGCAGGCACCCTCCTCGGGCCGCCCAGCGGTCGGACTTCCCCTGCACACTCTGGGGCTCTGAGGTACAGGCGTTTAAACATTGTCCAGGATCCTTGGAGCCACTCTGGGCCGCTCTGCTTTCTCAGGGACCTGTAAACATTTTGAAACATGTTGGCTGCTTTGAATATAAACACAAAAGTTTTCCCTGGCTGGTTTGGCTCAGCGGTTAGAGCGTCTGCCTGCAGACCAGAGAGTCCCGGGTTCGGTTCCCACTAAGGGCATGTGCCTTGGTTGCAGATTGTCCCCGGCCCCGGTTGGGGTCACGTGGGTGGCAGCCAGTCGATGTGTCTCTCTCGCGTTGATGTTTCTCTCTCTCTCTTCCCCCTTCTCTTCCTCCTGCTCTATCTGAAGATAAATGCAAAAACGTCCTCGAGTGAGGATAAAAACAGACAAACAAACAAAAAAAACCCCAAAAGGTTGCTGGGTTATTTTAGAAGCTAATGAGAAGTACTGGCTGGAGTTAAAATTTCAGAGCTTGGATCCACTATGCTTAGTTTCTCCCTTTCCCAGGAGAAATTGCCCAACAATTGGGAAACTGTACACCTTTTGTAAAAACTTCACCCACTGGCGTTCTCTGAAAATATAGTTTTCTTTTTAAAAACAAATTTAAATAAGTTTTTATTGATTTTTTTAGAGAGAGAGAAAAACATCAATCGGCCGTCTCCTGCACACCCCCTACTGGGGATCGAGCCCACAACCCGGGCATGTTCCCTGATTGGGAATTGAACTGGGACCTCTCAGTCCCTGGGACGATGCTCAATCCACTGAGCCTCACCGGCTGGGCAATTTTCTTTTTTAAAATATATTTTTTTATTGATTTTTTTTAGAGAGAGAGGAAGGGAGAGGAAGAGAGAGACAGAAACATTGGGCCCACAACCTGGGCATGTGCCCTGATCAGGAATCAAACCCGCGACCTCCTGGTGCATGGGCCGATGCTCAACCACTGAGCCACACAGGCCGGGCTGAAAATATAGTTTCTACAGGTGTGTGCACAGACTCAGCAGGACCCTGGCAGGTGAGAGAAGGCTAAGGGATGCCCGGTGGTGAGTCACCCTGGGCATGGTCAGCACCCAGGTCTTCACTGGCTTGAAGGCTGGGCTGAGGTCCTCGAGGCCCCTGAGCCGGGGCCGGCTTCGTGCAGGTGCGGCCTGTGCAGGCGGTTTGACGCTGTGCTGCCGCCGCCTGGAAATGTTGAGCAGTTTTCGAACCAGGAGCCTTGGTTCTTCCTGGGCTCCTCAGGCCCCGGGCCGCCTGCCGCTGCCCTCTGGTGGCCGAACGCGGTAGTGCAGCCGTAGGACGCCGGGCCGGCCAAGCTTCCCTGCCAGAAGGCCTTGAAGGATGCTGGCCGGGGCAGCATCCGCAGCTGCAGCCTGGGGGTGTCCTGCGCGGTGGGAGCCGCACCCCGTCAGGACGTGGGCCTCCGCAGAGTTCCTCCCATCGGGAGAATACAGGGTGCATTTCCCCCATCACAGGGCAGGGAGAGGTTCTCCATCTGATGAGCGTCAGATGTGCCCTGGGCGGCAGGTCCTGCGGGGTGACAGGAGGCAGCAGGCGAAGGGATTTGTCTCGCTGCTGGTGTCCTCTGTGGGCTCGCTTGGCAGCCAGAGGGCCTCCTGGAGGAAGGAAGAGCAGGCCCAGGACAGAAGCCAGGGAACAAGGACCAAACCCAAAGCACACTGCGAGGGGGCACGCTCCTCGCGAGGTTCTTGGCTCCGGCCGCATTTCCTGGGGCGCGCCCAGAATCTCCCACCTGGCCCTTCTGAAGCGATGCAGGGCTGCAGTATGGACAGTCCTGGTGGTTCTCTGGAAAGCTAAAGCAGAAGTCGTGTCAAACACACCTCTTCCTACGAAGGGACGTTTGTGTGTGGGCTTGTATCTTCTCTGCAGGGAACCAGGCACCTCGGGGACCCAGCGCCACCCCTCACTTCCTCTGAGCTCCGTGATAAGTCAGTGTTTTCAGGTTTCCCAGCATCTGAGAATGTGGGAGCTAGGAAACACCCCAGAAAGCGTCTGGTCTCCGTTTTCTGGTCGGACCGTAGAGTCCAGGGTGTGGGAAGAGCTTATCCAGGGGGACATGGTGGAGACCGAAGGGAGCCCCACCTCCTGGCTTCTGATCCGGCCAGAACCTCGGCTTCCATCTGTTGCCTGGCCCTTTCTACCCTCACACGTCGTGACTGGTGAACGGACATGGCGTGGGACACCCCTGCTGGCCCACACCATCCCGTGCCTGCTCCCTTGGTCCACACAAACCTGTGAAGGAGGCCCATCACTGTGACGTGGGTGAGGAGCCTCACCTGGGGCAGGCACCTGGACTTGCCCACGTGCTTCTGATGGACCCGCCTCACAGAGCCGGTCTGCAGGGTAGCTGCTGTCCACCCTCTGCTCTGTGCAGGCCTGGGAGAGGCAGACCTCCATGCAGATGGGCGCCCCCACGCTCCAGACCACAGACTGGGGGGCCAAAACAACAGAAACGTGTTTCCTCACGGTCCTGGAGATGGGGCTTCAAGAGCAAGGTGGTAACAGGGTCAGGGTACGGTGAGGGCTCTGCCTGGGGCCTCTCACTGTCCTCAAGTGGGTGGAAGGGGCCCTCTCCCAGCTCCACCCCTTCCTCTTATCAGGGCACTCATCCCGCCAGGGGGCCACTCTGACTTGTCTGGGGGGGGCCCACCCCCAACATCCAGGTGTTGGGTCTTTAGCATATGAATACCGGGGGCACAAGCATTCGGTGCATTGGCACCTCCCAGACTCAGGGTCTGTGGTCTCGCCCTGTTTCCCAGTTTTGCCTGACAGTCCCCTGTGGTCCTGGGCAGCTTTCCCTCCTGGTCCCAGGGGGCTGTTCCAGGTCAGCTGCACTGTCCTGGTGCCCTTGGCAGACGACCTCTGCTGCTGAAGTGGGACTGTCCTGGGTAGGCTGGGCCCCACCCTGGCCCTGCCCTCTGGGGTGCTCCTCCCCCCCTGGGTCTGTTCCACCCTCCAGGAACTTTGCTCCTTCGTCTACCCCACCTTCTCCTGTCTCCTGTCTCCTCGTGTGGCCAGGTCTCATTCTCCCTGTCTGGGCCCCAGAGAGCTGCCCATCTTGCTCCTCCTCTTGGCAGCCAAACCTCTTGACAGCCCCGTGGACAGTTGCCATGGCCCCTTCCTCAGTCTTCCCCCATCTGGCTTTGGCCTCATCCACGCGATGAGGACTCCTCCCGTCCTGGATGGCCTGGGTGTGGGACCCCGCGTTGTCCTCTGAGAGCTGAGTCTCTGCTTGTAGTCCTCGGTCCAGAGCTACACCTTCCCTTCTGTCTTTTGAGCCTCTTCGATTCGGGACAGACCCAGAACACGTCCCCTTCTCAGCCTGTTTCGCCATGAACTCCGTCCAGTCAGTGCGGCCCTCTCTCTGGTGTGGTTTGACGTGTGTCCACTCTCCCGGCTCCAGGCTTCATGGAGAGCGCTTTCTGCCTGATCCTCCCGGACTGCTCCTCAGGGACCCCGCGGTCCACCTTTGGAGGGGGGGGTCACTGGTTGCAGACTGCAGACCTACCTTTTCCTAGCCTGGTTGGTGTGCAGGGTCTGGGCTGGATGAGAGGCCTCCCCCACAGGGGAGGGGAAGAGAGCAGGGCACCCAGAGAGAGTGCTCCAGAGGGCCCTGGGCAGGAGGTAGGATGGTCTTTGTGAAAAATATAAAAGTAAAGTAAGGAGTGAAAGATATTCAGCCTTTTGCATTGTTTATAATTTAGGGCTCTAAAAGCTGTGACCTGGGAGGTCAGGGCCAGGCCCCAGGCAGGAGGAACCTAGAGGGAGGCTGAGCGGACAGAGGGGTGCTGCCACTTGGGGATGAGGCTAGAGGACATTCTGCTGGGACTCCACAGTCAGAGGAAGCACAGAAGGCCACAGGGGTGTCAGGCCAGAAGGAGACAGGTCCAGTATAGTCACATCTTTATGTAAAGACTGAACTGATTTTAGTTGGTGCAGCAAACAAAGCTGGAGGCAAAGGAGGGGTGGGGGAACCTACCAAGCCGGAGCCAGGAATACCCTTTGTGTTCCCCATACTGTCTCACAAGGACCAACTCCTTCAGAAAGTCCTCCGTCCCCCACCGCACCTGGGCTGGGGCGTTCGTGACGCTGGGCTCTCTGGTCTGCTCTCGAGTCTGTCTCCAGTGCTGGCCCAGTGCTCCCTTAGGGCAGGGCAGCTCCCCTGAGCCTGGAGCAGGGGGTGTTGGTGAGTGAAGAAATGATGAATGGGTGAGTGAGTGGGTGGGTGAGGCCATGTTAAGATAAGGATTATAGCCCTGGCCAGTTTGG